GTGTGAGCAGCTGCGGGGCATTTCAGAGGCTGCCTGGCTCGGGAAGAAGTCAGAGAAGCTGAGCCTGACGGGTGCTGGTGGGAACTGAACCATCTTTTGCTGGTCTGAGCCAGGGATGGGGAGTGGGAAGTGGGTGCCAGGGCAGGGAGAGGTCTGATATATTGCTGCTTCTCCTTTCCCCGTGTCCTTGGGAAGGCTGAATCGCTTCAACAAGAAGTACGTGAAGAAGTGCCTGATTGCGGGGGAGCGGTCCAAGGAGCCCCAGCTCATCGCCTTCTATCACAAGATGGAGATGAAGCAGGCAATCGAGCTGGTGGAGAGTGGGGGCATAGGCAAGATCCCCTCCGCTGTCTCCACCGTCTCCATCCAGTGAGTTCCCCGGCCCTGGCTGCCCTGTGCCTCTGATGGGCCCCTGGCGTAGGCTGAGCGCTCCCTGCTAGTGGCCGCAGGGCAAGCAGCCGTTCAGTCCTGCCGTGGCCATCGCAGTGTCACTCTGAATCCTGTCTGTCCACGCAGGAACATCAACCCCAAGACCCTCCCCGTGGAGCGCATCCTTCCGGCCCTGTCCAAGGACAAGGAGGAGGAGATCCGAAAAATCCTTCGCAACAACCTGCAGAAAACCAGGCAGAGGGTGAGGTGTCCCCTGGCACCGTGCCTGCCCCCTTTGCTTCCTTGGGGGTGGCCAGGACAGTTTCCAAACAGAAGCCTTCAGGGCCAGCTGGGTTCCTCACCCCCAGCATCCCTGCCCTGCTGCCCCTTGTGTCCCTGGTCTGGCTCTCCCTCCCCAGGAAGCTTTTCTGCCTGGAATAGTGCTGAGGGGGAGGCTGGCTTGGTCGGTGGCTGAGCCCAGCCTTTAAACCCTTGCTGGGCCAAGGTGGATCAAGATCAGGCATCCCATGGTAGCACACAAGGAACGAGCCACCAGCTCGCCTGGACGGGCTCTGCCCACTGGTGGCCATTTCACCCATCTCCAAAGGAAAGGGTGCCGTGACCTTCTTTTCCCTTTCTATGTCTATTTTTTAACCCGTCTCCTTTTCTTGGGGCTTCTTTCCAGTTGCGATCCTACAACCGACACACACTTGTGGCTGACCCCTACGAGGAAGCCTGGAACCAGATGCTCCTGCGCAGGCAGAAGGCCCGGCAGCTGGAACAGAAGGTGTTAAGGAGATGCTGGAGCAGCGATCCTGCCGGAGGCTGGGGAGAATGGGGGGCTGAGGGGGGCTTCCCAGCCTGGGAAGGACATCGGTGTCCTACATGGGGAGGGGGCTGAGGTTCAGATGACAGTGGGTCACCCCAAGCCTTGGGGGTCCTCTGATTGCCCCAGGCTCTGAGCAAGTCCTTGCAGCACGGCTTGGAGGATGCGTATGTGTGTCCTCTGCATCCCGCTGCTGCTTCCTCCTCCTCCCTGTGGCCTGGGATCAGTTCCCTGCCTCCCCTTCCCCATTTATCCTGGCCACTCCGATGGAAATGGTCCCTGTGCTCCGATTCCAGATGAACAACTACCTGACGGTGCCGGCTCACAAGCTCGATTCGCCCACCATGTCCCGGGCTCGCATAGGCTCAGGTAGGTGGGACTGAGCTGCTGGGGGAGCGCCGCTGCGGCACCTCCCGGGGCATCGCCGGCACTTTGGTGCTGAGGCACTCGGGGGTTGTGTTGTCCTGCACCCCCCCAGCTCCTCTGCTGCTCTCCAGCCCCGATCGTCCCCGTCCCACTCCCGTGAGTGCCGTGCAGCCAAGCCCCAGGGGTTTGGTCTTCTCGAGCCCAAGCTCTGCTGCCTGCAGCCTGGGCACGCAGAGGGGTCTGCCTGAGCAGAAGCACCTGGCTCTCTTCCTGAAGCTTTTCCCACCAGGATGTCAGCTTGGCCAGTCGGTAGATCTGTCTGGAGCTCAGCAGCCACATTTCTGGCCATGCCTCTCCCTACCCTCTGCAGGGGAGAGGACCGTGCTCAGCCCCAAGACCTGACCCTGGACTCCCGACTCCTCCAGCACACGTTTGCTCTGCCATCTTTGGTTCCTCCTGTCCTGTGTGTCCTTCCCTGCTTTGGGGACGGTGTGACGGGGTGTGACAGGGTGTGACGCTGCTGCTGGTGCCGGCGGAGCCAGCAGTTAAGCGGCAGAGGGCAGCTTCAGCCCTTGCAAACGGCGCAGCCCTGGGAAGCAGGGCTGGGCTGGCTGGAGCGGCTCCAGATGACGTGTGGAAACCAAAAAAAAAACCGGAATTAAACAGCAGCAGACTTGGAAGTCAGAGAGGGAGTGAGCCCAGGCATCCCAGCCCCGAACGTCTGGGATGCATTAGCTGGGGGTCCCAGGGACACCCCCCCTTCCCTTCCGCAGGTTACTCTGACCCAGTTTGTCCATGGTGCCATGAGACAGTGGCCCCCTCTGACCCCCCTCTGCCTCCCCAGACCCGCTGGGCCATGAAACCCA